ACAGGTCGAAACTGCCTAGGTACCTACTATAGTAATCCAATTCCATACCAGCAATTTGACCCAAGCGTTTAACTTGACACGATTTCGAGCTTAAAGTATAACCTCGTTTTATATATTTTTTATTTACAATAATACAACGAAATATCTGATTCGAATCCCCAAATCTATTGTTAAGAGGAGCAAATAAATTTCGCGCGATTACTTATATAGTTATATAGTGGACATTTATATTTTACTGTTCAGCCAAACAGAGTTTAGTTATTACTATTTGACTGATGTGTTATACGCTGACACGAATAATTCTTCACTATAACGTGTTCCATGTTGATGTATAATGCCATTCCATTCAAGTTTACCGTTGTCACATTATTATGTCTCTAGAAAAAATGTACCAATTATATTATATTTCTGGAGGCATATAAACATCAATAAATTGCAAACAGTTGTACTCATTTAGTGATTACATTTAATTATATAGTTGTTTGCGACCATACAATATCAATGTATTTACTAAAGGTATATGTAGGTATATAATAATATGTACCTACTGTAAAAACAATTTAATAACTGTTCGCTAATTGTTTTTTTTTTTTTGACAATCCATACTACCTATAGTACCTACCTGTGCGGCTGTACATATAAAGTGTCAAGTCATAATAACATTGACAACAATTTATTATTACCTAACTACGAAAATATTTAATTTTATACACCTAGTATAATTAATATAATATTATTTTCTGTTAAACTATTTATTAATTTCATGTATTTGTCCAAAAATCTAATCTAATCAATCTTCATATTGTAATATCGAAGGTACCTAGATACTGTGATTTGTGATCACTGTAACGACGATTGTATGATACCTAAAAATCTGCTTACCATTTAGACAAGTGTGACTGATTAATCTCTTTTTTAGAGTGACTTCTTGTTCTTCTTAAGAAGACACTACAAACCACTTTAGTTGTTAGTACATTTTAAAATGCTCATAACTAGCATTAAAATTTAAATATATAATACCCTAAGAGATTCACTAGACAATAATCTTCGTTTAAATTTAATTTTAAAATTTTGATAATAGGTCAAATTCACTAGTATTAAATAGTATATACCTATGTATTTTATGTACCTATGCTAATTTATTAATTTAATAAGAACATTTATTTTAGTATTTTGAAATTAAGTTACCTACTCGTTTGTATTAAAATGCTTATTTTGTATTGTTATATAATTTATAACGGTAGCAGGAACCTATAGAACTTAAGACTAATTTCTGAGTTACAATGGTTAAACAAATATGTATGACAACTATACTATTAAGAATCAGATAGAATACAATTTAATAAGTTCTAGTACCTATACATTATAATATTATATCATAGAAAAGAAATTAGATAGGTATAAATAATATATGTTACAAAATATAATGATAGTAGGTGTTATGTTGATTTTAAGAATTAAAGAAATTAGTATTTACATTTAACTACAAAAATTATATTTTGTTTATTTATTGCACACACATATTGGAACTATGGAATTTGGAAGTACAAAAAATATTTTGTGGTTTGTATTTGCATTTCTTCGTAGTAGGCACATCTGGTTAAAACCATGTAATGGCTAATACTATTATATTTTTGTTATTATTTATACGTTTTTAATCATATTTAACTATATTTTTACAATAATATTCATTTTATCGTTTTTATAAGATACATAAAAAAACATAGACCTATACAAGCTACTGTTAACAATTTTGATTTATAGACGCTACCCTAATGCCCATTTAAGATTGGTCATATTCATAACTAGGTTTCCCCGGGCAAAAGCCGAAGTATGACTTGTCCGAGTATCGTGGGCAGTTCGCATTTAGCCCGGGCATTTTCGATGTTTGCCCGATTTCAGCTTTTACCCTTAACATAATTATGTATTTTCCCGGAAAAAAAATGATATCCACCCACGATAGAAGAAGAAAATTTTATTTTTTGACTAAGACTACATGAAAATTACGAAATAAGGGGGAAATATTAACTGTTACCTTCGATACCTAATAATTGTCGAAATCACGCAAATTTATTCAGCCACGCACGCGATCACAAACGAGACGACTATATTTACAATGACCTGCCGTAATTATTAATTAATTGTGATTTATTCAAGACGTAAAATAGACGTATTATTTCGATAAACACATAGTTATAGTAACATAAATATATGTATATATCTGGTCATTTATATTTACTTCCAAGTTTTAATAATTACCGCTTGAAATGTCAACAACTCAATGCCTAATTGCATACACTAAAGTATACCTAATATACGTTATACATTATAGGTAAATTATTATAGTTTATCGCCGATGGCTGTATTACGCTAATTTTTTTCTTTTTGTATCGATAAATGATAATAATAACAGGAACGTTATAGAATGTGTGAATAACATATAAGATCCGATATTTGCAAGATAATTTTCAATACCACTTTTGATTGTTGAGTTTAATTACTAAATATTTCACTACAAAAAACCGGAGAAACAAAACTCGTACTTAATGCCAATGTGATAATTTTGAATTTTGTATGTTTCACGATAAACGCATTAAAAAAATTTCAAATATGAACACGTCAAAATAATATTATAATAAAGTAAAAGTTATCGAGTTTATTATGGTAAACAATTCACGTTTTATGACCATTGAGGTGATGACATATTATTTTAATAGTCTCTATATCATCAACCATTCAAATCCATTGCTATATAGGTACCTGCATAAAAAGTGCGTGAACATATTATTAAAGTAGTAGAATTTCATGTTGCGCACTATTTAAATGTTAATATTTTTTACAGCATTTAAAGTATCTTTGGGTACGTCTTTACCTATAATAATATAGTGTAATAATACCTATTGAACAATACAATAAATTAACCTTGTCGATTAATGTAGAAATCATTTATTTGTACTCAATATGTGTGTGCGTGTGTGTGTGTGTGTGTGTGTGTGTGTGTATGAACGTGTTTTATTTATTGTATAAATTGTACCATCGATAAAATAATATATTATATTGACTACAGTTTAACGTTATCGGTGATGAATACGAATATTATCTAGATTGCTAAACGACCGTGACTGCCACTAAGTATAGGTGCGACCGACAACACCGCACGAGAATAATATTATACAGTATCGTAAACAGACTGCAATTTCACGCGTTTTATTATTTCTACCGTGTACACCCAAAATATGAAATATTAAAAATAATAGCTGACTCATGAGAAGCATAACTATTGTATTCATACGTTTGTTTTAACTCTCATATTATATTTCACTCATCAGTTGTTAAGAGAGTTAAATACGTCATCCTTATAGAATTACAAAACGGTAAATAGTATTGACGAAGAAGTGTTACAAATACTTCAATGTATTGTCTACAAAACAAAACCAAAAACATTTTGATGGTATCTACTATATTATTATTATTTCATTAGCAAGACAAAAAAATGTAGTAGGAATGTTATAAGATACTATTTCTCTGCAAAGAAAATTGAAGAATCAAAGATATGTTTTGGATATAGTCCAGTGAAAAAATATCTAGTAGCGTGTTACATTTGTTAAGAATTTAATGAATTAAGAATTATAGATTGATTTATTTATTTATAGGTACATATTTTATTATTTGTTTTTATGATTTGAGTTTCTATGGCGATATAGTTAAGTGACCATTAGTTATATTTTACTTTTTGAATTAGATTTAAAATTATAATAGATACAAGTTGTCTAAAAGAAACCACAAGAAGATTATTATGTTATGTAGTCTACATAATGTAGGTAAATTGTTTATAATATTATATATGTATACATACCTACCAGTATATTGCCTAATAAATCACATTATATCGTTGCGGTAATTTTAGTCCCTAATATTTTAAGTTTATTCACAATTTATATGAAAAAGAATATTTCAAGTTAAATTTGAACACTTATGACGTATCAATCCATATAAAAAAACATTTTTTGTTTCATTATAGGAATTGTTGATTTAGGATTGTTAAAAAATACGAAGAATTGACACAAACAATTTGGTTTTTAAATTTGACACATTTAAAGTTCCACCCACTGGCAGTTAACACTACTATAAATAACTCTTATTCTCAAAAATGATTTTACATTAAAGCTTAATTTTAAGACTTTCATTCTCAACCACAAAATATGTATTAAAACTTTATTATCATAAATACCGTAATAAAATATTATACAGTATACAGGAATCTACCTATATCAACACTCAAATACATTTTGTAAAACTCGATTAAAACTGCGTATTTTATACTAAATTAATTTTAAAAAAGTCAAAATATGTTGACTGTGGTTAATACGAAAAACTAAATGCAATGTTGACCTTGCTTAGTTGGATACTATTTTCAACTTTGGAGATATATTAATAATTAAATACGTCATGGATAAACTAAATAAATTAATGGTTTCCATTGATTCTTACTCAAAAAACATGTAAGACGTATATAGTTCAACGAGTAACAATTCTCTTGAAATCACATTTTATCAACTTTAAAAAAATATATAAATACCTACCAATTAAAAAAGCACTCTTACTTCATACATATTCAACAAAATTAGTTTACTTTATCATGAATTTTAAAAACCAGCATTTTATAAATTATTGTAGGTGTTTTTCAACAGCATAAAGCAAACAGAAAGGTCTCTTGAGACTAGTACTGACTATTTGCAGACAGTTAACATTCAAATAGTGTTTAGTTGCGTAGGCAAGGGTTTTTTTTTTTTGCGATCTTAACTAAAATTATGTTAAGTGTTTAGTGTATTATTAATTATAAAGTTATTAAGAACTACACCCCGTAGCAACACTTTTTGAATCGGTTTTTTTTTACGTTTCATCATAAGCTTAGGACAACATGAATAACATTATAAATTTTGTTTTATTATTACTAATATTTTGAATTAAATTCCGGTTACTGATTGTGTTACACACAGTGCCTGTGCATGATGGATTTGGGAGCGGCGATATCAGTGCCAACAGGCAAGACGACGCCCATTGAACCTGCTGCGCCAGAGCCAAAAATAATTCCCGTGCCTGGTTCCTATCTGGCACCACCGGCTCCCGTACAAGAGTATTCGGAAGAAAGACCAGAACCACCTCCATTGGATCCGTCTTATGTTCCAATCCCATACAACTTCATCGAGTACTTGGCCCCTCAAAGTCTTATACTGGTAATAACAACTGATTTATTCCTACAGCGATACATAGTAACGCAATTAATGCATAAGCAGTTTAAAAATGTTTCAACAGATAATTGATTATAATGATCTTATAGCCAGTTATTTTGTTTGTGAATGTTCTATCAATACCTAATAAAATGACATAATGACGATAACCAAACTTTATATATATAGTAGGTATTATACTGCCATACCCTAATTATTATGGATGTATATTTATGCAGCTTAAACTGAGCCCAAACGACCTTTTTTTTGTAAGCTACTCCTGAATCTATGTCAAAAAAGTATAACGTAAACTGAGCCCGAATTTTTATCTATGTCAAAAAGATTTGATGTAAGTTGCGCCCGAATTGTTATCTGGAATATCACAGAAATTATTTTTATCCAAAAAACTAAAATTTAAAATACCAACATCGCAACACGTTATCAAATTACTATTGCAGTAATACGAAAATTTATAGTTATTACTGTATCCGGCATATGCCTGCTAGTACCTATCGTACAACTCATCCAAATATTTTTATGTTTATAGAAAATTTAAAAGAAATTCAAATAAAAACATAATATATAAAATTAAATAGTAAAAATCAACCCTTTAAATAACAAAATACTCTAAAACAAAAAACACGTGAAAAGTTCCAAAGTTTAATTAATAAATTATTATAATTATTATAATAGTGGTGAAATTTTAATATGTTGTACTACTTTTGTACTTTTTAAAATTATATTTTTTTTAATTATTAATTTTATTCAATTAATTATTCATATATTATAATATTATGGTTATAACGAATTAAGTATAAAGTACTAAGTATTAACTATTAAGTATTGAAGATTTGTAAGATATGTAGTTTTGTAATTTTGTTTGATTTTGCAAAAATATAGTTGTCTACCTATTAATTTTTATAAGAACTCGGGCGCAGTTTACATGTGTGATTTAACTGTACCTTGAGCGAAGTTTACTACCACTGATATTTATTTATCACAAACCTACAGTTCAATTTTTTCATTGGTGAATTCCATCAAGTCTAAAAGAGTAATAAATACTTTTAATGAAAAATCAAATTTTAAAATACGATTTAAGGCTGAAAGAAGTTGGCCAAGATACTCCTTAAATCGTAAACAGCCACTTTTTTTGTAAACAATATTAATATTTAAACTAATAAAAGCACATTTTTTTTTAATCATACGAAAGTATTACGAAAAGTTAAAACCAATACTCTTATTATACTCTACCAACCTAATATTATGTGTACATACTTTACAGGTACCAATGAAAATTAAGTTCCAAAAACCTTATTCAAAGTATGAAAAATACCCTCTCACAGCGATTAAGTATCAGAAGCTTATCAAAAATGAAAATATGAGACGGAAATACTATTCAAATATCCCACAGCAAAATTATATTCCATTGAACTGATCAGTATTATAAATGATCTTGTCGTCAAAAATATTTGCCATGTCATATACATATATTGATATATTATATGTAATTAAAATAAAATGTTATACATTTTTTACCTCTTAAAAATAATTGTTTCTATCTCTACTATAACCAATATTGTTTTGTAATATAATTTATATGTAATATTTTAATATAATATAGTATAATATATTAATATTATAACAACGTGTAATAAATGTCATATTTGTATATTATAAACATACAATACTTAAATGTGTAATATTGCGTACCCAATCCTTATCCAAAATCTAATTATGTGATCTGTTTCATGTGACTCAGTGACTCCCTAACCATTATTCATCATAAAGATCAACAATAACTTTGCTAAAACTGAAAGAATTTACCAAGGTACCCATTATAGTATTATTCTGTTACCTCCGATAAACCAAAGAGCAAATACCAAAAAGAAAACTTTAAATTATAATAAATCATAATATTTTGAAACCGTATTTCTGCAATAATTTGTATTACTAGTCACGAGAACACCTCTTTTATATTATAGTTTTAATTGTGAACACTCGTGTTATACACTAAGTTTGCAGGTATTATACCAAACACTAATCACTTAATATACGTTAATATACATTTTAACGTAGTTCATAGTGTCTCGAGGGCTATAATATTCTTAATGTGGCATCTATGTATATGTATATATAGTAACTCGAACGACTAGTACCTTTTTGATTTAAGAGGTGTATGATATGGTTCCGGTAATGTTAACAATTTGTTAATGAAATAAAAATTGACATCATTCATACAGGTATTTATGTTTTTAATAAACAAAAAACAGTATTACAACAGGGACTGTTAAAACACTTTTATCAAGAAGTTTCGGGTTCGTGGCTAGCTAGCCTGTACTTCCTTAGGGTTGTGGTAACCAAAGGGGTCATTGTGTCAACATATGAAGAGTTAATGTAATAACATTTTAGTGGGTATAAACAAAATGTGTTATGTCTATGTAACAATAAATCATTATTGTGATATTTCTTATTCAACACTATTTTTTTTACCCTCAGCAACAGGCCTTTTGTGTGTATGGGGGGGGGGGATTACGGTTGGTTGAAACATGTGTTTTTATGTGAGATAAGGATTCGTCACCAAGAACTAGCTGGATGTCGTAAATCCGGGAACCAGGGACCCCGAACGGTACTTGGCCGCAGCCCACAGCACACGTTGTTGACTCCAGACAACCACCGGGTCACATCAGGCCAAAGTCTAATATTTTAGAGCACTGATCAGTGAAAACTGAAAAGTTGACAACGATTTAATATAAATCTACATAAGTTATTTTTAATTAATTTCCAAACAGAACTTTCTTCTATTTTCCTATATCTCAAGCTGTGTTATTATTAAATTGTTACTGATTATAATGAATGATTTTTATTTTATAGGTATATAAATATTAGTTAAAGGTTTTTTTACGTAGTTTCTTTTTTCAACAATAGCTTTTTTCTAATTAATATTTTTGAATATAAGCAATAAGCATGGACAAGTTTGTACATATACAAAAGGAAACATCCACTATTTTAATAAGCTATAAAATCTCGTACACTAACATTTTCACATTTTCTGAAGGTTTTAATCAAAAAAGATATAATAACACAAAAAACATAAATTAGAGGAACACAAAGCTGCGAATAGGCCAATCTGCCGACTCGTCACCGAACCGCTCGTTTGACGGTTTGTCATATATGAATATATGATGTCATCAGAAATCAACCGGAAATTAGCTGCCGGAAGAGAATTATGTGAATAGTCAAAGAGTGACGAAGAAATCGAGCCCAGTTCGGTGACGAAGGTCAAAAAGAAGAATTCTCTGAAGGTGGCGTACACACGTTTTATAGAGTATAGTTGTATGGAACATATTATAGACGAAATGTCTAAATAACAGGTACAAAGTTAATTTAAAATAAATACAGAAAACTACAGTAACTTATGAACTCTACATAAATCATATATTAAAATATTATGTTCCATTAGCTTGTGAAAGTTACAATGAAAATGTAAAAACAAATTATTCGATGACAAATTGAATAAGTGCCAAAGGTATGGATGTTCATTAGATAAAGTACCTATACGTTCGTTATGTTTTAATTTAACGTGGTTTGTTTTAGAGTTTTTATTTTGAGATTATGAAAAAAGTAGATAGGTACGTCATGTTGCAAGATGGAAAAAAAATATTAATGATAAAAAACAACATCATATATTTATATGTTTTTAAAGACGTCGTCCTCCAAATTGTACACATTTTTTTATCGCTCAGTGAAATGTCGGATGAAACCTGTACAGTGTACATTGAATTATTCGAGTATCATCTTATTAGGTAATGTAATACTTGTTATACTTCAAATTTCAATGCAAATAAAAATCAAACAAATGATGACCATTTTCTTAGAAACAAATTAAATTTATTGAGTAAGGGTATTATATTATAATAAAATTGATTTTAAATGATTGTAAAAATATTTTTTTTTAAACCAGGGGCTCACACATTTCGTCACAATAAACAACTAATAGCGATTATAAGTGTAGGTAGATAAAAAAAATAATATAATTCTGTCTTTACTGATACAGCCACACAGGTACCGTGAAATGATTAAATAAACACAATAGAAGGCCTCGGGAATATTACAACAACTATGTAACTAGCAGGAAATCGATAATTATTGGCTTAAGTCGGGATAAATGTGTCAGATTAGTACATATCAAACATTTAAGATGGTACGAGTGGGAATGTTCTAAGTGTTGAATATAGTCTTCGGAATTCATCAAGTCATCATCATAGACCTAGATAGTATAATATATTACATATATCATTGGAGAGAAAATGTTTTATTATACTTATTGAGATTGTATATACGATCATAATATATTTATAATACCTATAATATGAAATAAATACCAAACCACTTGATGAGCTAATTTTATTCCGATCATAATATTACAACTAAAAGCTTTAAAGAATTGATCCAAGATGATATTAGGTGTCTATCTACTTTTTCCGATTATGTTTGACCCATCCCTTAATGAAAAAATATTGATTTCATTATAATTTATATAAAAGTAAGAGCCGCAGTCACATCACTACAATTTTAGTTTTTAAATTTACATTTCATAATTATCCAATTTTAATTAAAAATTCTAACTATTTATAACAAAATTAAATATAAACATCAAATTTAAAATTATAATACATTATTGTGTTGACGCGGTGTATGAATATCCCCTTATACATAGACAGTAACTTATACAGTACCTAATGGTAGTTAATACGAATCCTTTATTATAAAAATGAATGAATTAGCAAACGTTGAAAAAAAAGAAGTTAGTTTCGCCACAGTACATTCCTTAAATGGTATAAAAATCTTATTATTTAAAAATATGGTCTTCAAGTATATTTAAAAATCATAATTAATTGAATAAATATATTATTAAAGTAATAAAAGATACAAAGGAGGTGAACAGGCTATAGAATACAGACGAAAACAAACACGGCGAAACATCCTGTATAATATAAATAAGTAATATAAAGCAAAGTGATTCTAGAGAATATTATACCAATAAGCAATACGTCGTTGGGCGAGTAACATGTCGTATCTCAAGAAAAATCGATTTTGCGATTTATACATAAAAAAAAGCGGGAAAAAATAACATATGATTTGATAATTATATTAATATTAATAATAATAATTTCCAAGGAGATTGAAGACTTAATTGTAATTTTGACGTAACTTGATTACATGTTATCAGTGTTCACGTTTTTGTCTCTCCTGAACATTTTACTTTTTTTAGCTATTATAGCTATTCTATATTGACCTATTAAAATATTAAATTTAAAATAATCAAAAATAATTTGAAAAATGATGTATATTTTGTAAGTCAATAGATAGTAGGTACACTAATAAAAATATTTCAAGCCCTAACAAATGTAATTTGTACATTTTTTTGAAGAATAACAGACATTCATCATTTCTAAAAGAACATAGGTACAAGCAAAATAATTTCGGATATTCCTGATCAAAAAATAATCATTATAAGCAATCGGAATAATGTAAGGCTGCATTTTCTATTTCTGAGAACAGTGAAAAAAAATTTTGTATCACATTGTATTTTCAATTTTGTATTTACTCGTAAATAAATCGACTACCATATATATAATAATATATAATAAATAGGACCTAACCTTTTAACGTCCTTTATTCATTTACCTTCAGCTTTCACGCATTTCTACTTTTTAAGGGAGAACCATCATTAATAATTAAAACTGTACCTAATAATTATTTTAAGTTATAATAACTTGGTTATATTTTATAATCAATAAAACAAAACTCGATACCAACCTTACTAATGCACGATACTATTTTCAGTATTTTGAGATATCATGATTCATAGGAAATAAATATAATCGTATCAGTAGAATCCGAATGTAATAATATGTATACCTAGTATTATGCATGGTACCTAACTCTTAAGCACCAAATACAGATCAAGTATATTGTAGTAGGTACCCGTGGTGTATGCTTTACTCGGAAAATTTTAAATACCAAATGACGAAACTTTTACTTTCAACTTTCAGAAGAGACATTTTATACGTATTTTATGTTTAAACGAATCGCAAATAATAAAATATAGTAATTTAATATACTACTAGGTAGTAGGTAGGTAGGTATTGTTAAAACGTTCCGTGTTATTGCTAAAATTGTGTACAATTCATATCTATACATCAATACATGTATTTACAGTGTTTACAGTGCATAATAATAATATAGGTGTGCCTATTATGGAGGTATGTGAGTACCCGTAAGTATGTGCAATCGCAAAGCTATATTAATATTATGTCTAAGCGCAAAACAGTGAGCTCTCAAATAACAAAGGTGACCACACACGTGGGTTCAAAAATAATATTACCTTTACATCGACTGTGCAGATCGTACACAACTATACAGTAGGTCGTA